CAATAATATATTTTAGTTAATTTTATTCATTATGACGTGTTTTTATTTTAATGATTTATTTATCTAAAAAGGTTTATATTAAATTTAGATATTTTTACATAATTACATATTTTTAGAAACGTCTAAGATAATAAATTAATTTCATCTTGTACTTACCATATCAACATTTTTTATCTTCGTCCATCGTATGGATAATGCAACAAAAAATTAACAAATTAAACTATGCAAAGATCATATATTTTTATATAACAAATAATATGTGATAGGGATTTTATAAGCTTTTCGAAAAATAATGTGGAACAAAAATGTTTTAGTAATTGAAATGAAAAAAATCATTTTTATTCCCTTCGTAGTATATTCTAGGTATTTTTCAAGTATTTATATTAATTCTTATATGGGAAATGTAAACTATGTGTAATAAGTGAAAATATTTTACCAAATACCGTGCGTAAAACAAACTACGAAGAAAGAAAATACTACTGCCAAATTATCTTATAGTAAACAAATGATAAACAATCAGTACATCTCAAATGTGTACGGAAATTAATTTTATAGAAACAATCATAAAACTAATAGATTAGTAAACTTAGATCGATAAATAAATTTAATAAGTTTTCTTTTTATACTTTACCATTAAAAATAAAGTTATGTTTTTCATAAATATATCGTCTAAGATATAAATCAAAATATTAATACCTATAATACGAGTAGGTCAACGTTGTATAAAACCCAATTTATAATGATTATAAACGGTGTATACTAGTTGCGATCACCCAACAAAAAGGTTACATACTAGTTGCGATCACTCAAAATATATATTTAGTATATATGGTATATACCATGTTATTTTATTTACAAAAAAGTTTCAATATTTTCCTTTCTATTTTATAAACAGACTTAGGACTGTCTACACTATTTTTATTGTGTAAGTTCGAAATCACTGAAGATTCTATTTGGGATATAGTCAGACAAACAACCTTTGAGGTGGTCTAATACAGTTTTGAACGCATTACAAGGCAGTTTACTAGGCAATAACGAAACAAACAATGGTACGTATGAGTTACTTTTGTTTTTATATCCATATAACACAAAAAATTGTTTAAAAGGAAAATGGCAAACTTGAAAAAGTACCGTCCATAAAAATTGAGTCGCATTGTTTTAAAAAATTAAGATTTAACTGATTCATAAAACATATTACATTGTTCTGAACATCGTTTATAAAAATCCAATTTTCATTATTTTTGGTTCGCATTTTATTAATTACGTTAGGAAGCGTCAAATTTAATTGTGAAAAATCACGCGGCAACTTCGGGTGAACTTTCATTCTTGCAGCTTGTATATTTTTTCTGATCAATGTAACGCCATTTGACCCCAGTACACTGAGTACTGTACTTGACATCTCAGAATGAATAATTTTGGAGGGACGCTCGCTCAACTGCTCCACTGCCTTACGTTTAACACTGTTACTAACCTTTTGCCGTACCATTGATTTGGTCATCTGGTTCGTGATTATACTACTATTGTAGGGGCGTATACAAGGGGGGGGGGTCAGATCTCCCATTCATAGGTCTTTTAAAAATTGTATAAAATAGTGTTCTTAATGCAAGGAAATTATAAGGAAATAAAAAAATATTGCAAGGAATTATTGTAAATTATTATTTTGGCATATTCAATATATATATATTATTATTTATTATTTAAATGTAGAAGTACACACTTAAGTTTAGGAATTCCATAATAATTTCATAATTCCTTCCATAATAATTTGTTTTCAACTGATCCCCCTCCCCATATAAAAGTTATATGTACGCCACTGTACTATTGGACTATAAAATTTTATTTATTTTATATATAAACTTTACAGATAAATAATAGGTATATGACCGCAACTAAGATATTACCTACAGTTTACGTGACCGCAACTGTTATAATATAACATATTATGTCCTTATCTCAAAAATCGTCCCTGACCGCAACTCGGATGCAGCCATTATAAAGAAGCCAATGAATTTTGAATTTAATGAACATTATTAATTTTAACAAAATGTTCGAATCTATATCCCATAATACTAATTCATTTTTAAAAAATTGTTTACTTTTTTAACTGGCTAGTTATTTTTTTTGTTCGTGACAACAAACCTATTTCGCTGTAATAATAACTCCGTTTATTACACTAACACTTCGAAAGTACATTCAGTTCTATTGCATTAATTAATTAAAATATCTACTCAAAAGAAATCAAATTTAAACATCTCAACTATGAACGAGTTACCAAGCACAAAATATATTCTAGATATTGAGAATTCTATAAAAGGCAGCCAACCAGCGATTGAACGGATCGACCAAAACTCCATTAACAATTCAACGAAAAATGAACTTATCCCATCGAAAACTATTAGAAACATTCTTAATGAGGTTCAGAAAGGAAAACCAAGAGTTCTGAAAACGTCCAAATTAAAAAAACCTAAAGCGATGGCTGTTAACAATACGAAGAAGACCCCGATTCCAAAACAAATCATAAATCAATCTCAACCAAAAAAGCCACAAAACGAGAAAACTATGACTTCAGTTACGAAAAAATTAAAAGCAAAAGTGACCAAAACATCTCAAGTCCAAGGAACTATAAAAAAATCTAAGGCAACGGAATCTGTTAAGAAATCTCTAGTAAAAGAACCTTTAGGACAACCCCTATCCCTACCGTCACCCAAATCCCAATTAAAAAAGATAACGCCTAATCTGCCCAATCTAATATCCGTCGTCAAGAATGTGGAAGTGAAAAATGAAAAACCAAAACGCATTTTAAAATCCACTCTGAAATCCGATGTTAAAGGGAAAACACCAAAGCAGTCGGAAGGTGTCAAACCTGGTGACAATAATCAAAAGTAAATAAAAATCTATACGTTTATATTATTATGCCTATAGTTTTATTAAAAATGTAATACGCCATGTTTTAGGGTGAAAAAAGTCAAACAGTTGTTAAAACGCAAACTGAAATTGTCAACAAATGGAAAAACCGTGAAACAAAACAACTCGGAAACTGTGAAAAATAAACCTTAAATATCACTACTCTGGTAAACAATTTAAAATAAATGCCAACAAAATTTTTAACCAATAAATTTAATAAACGCATATTTCAAACTAAAATTTGAATTTTTTAATAATATTTCGTGACAAAATGCATGAAAAAAGTAAAATTCATAATTTTACTATAAAAATGTATAAACACTGTTTGATTTTCCACTGAATTAAATAACAAAATATTATGGAATAATTAATATTTTAAACTTCAATAAAATTCAAATAACTATGTTAATATCATATAATATATGGTAGAAAGAGTAAGTAAATAAAGCAATGATCACATATAAATGAATACGTTTTTTTTTGAATATGGTGAATGTTAAGTTGCCTAACATACAACTTTGGTTGGTGTAGTTTTTCTGCCTCGTACTATATTGTTATAGTTCTCAACATCTCAATATGTCCATCGGCTTATGAGACAATGTTAATAACTTGTATAATAATCTCCTTTGCCATACCAGATATCCTAAGTGTAATTATTTCATATCTATATTTTTAGTATATACTTTTAATTTTTTTTCATAACAATATTATTATTTCTGGATATTTTTGGTTATCTAGCCGTCATCAAAATTTTCATTTATTTTCCAATTTTTTTATTATTTGGTGGTAGGATAGGTTATTTATTACATACTTGCATAATACATTTTATTTTGAAAAAATATTTGAAAAAAATGCGATAGCATCACTTTCCTCTTCGATTAGTTTCGAGAGACGTAAGAAATTCATGTTCACCAAAACAAAACTTATACGCTACTAACAAGTAATAGTACAACGGTTGGGTCATTTGGTTACATAATTTAATGTATAAAAACATGCTTAGAAAGCATGTATCAGCAGGTTATCTGCAAATATATGCACAGAAGAATGGCGGCTAGAAAACCAAAAAGATCCGATTGTTTTAATCCTTAATAACAACCTGCTGAATTATGTATAATCCATCAGTTATATGTACGAGTACTATGATTTATGAATCATAAATCATTATATATCCTAAGTTTGTCATAAATTATACCAGTTGAAAACGTATTGTATGAAATTTTAAAATGTGCCAACCAAATTCATAAGATGTATTCATTTATAATCAATTTACGTTTTATTACATAATATTATCAGATAGCAAAACTTTATCGTCCATGAAGTTTTGCCGAATTTGATTTACTGTATTATCCAACCCTCACTCACAATATAAACAGAATTTGGTTAATATTTATTATAATACTAAAATATATTTTCCAACCATATTGATTAGGTGAAATGTAAATATTGACGTCATTTAAATTTAAGTAGTTACATGCAAGATACTCGTAAAAATCATTAATACATTTATAGTCGATAACTATTTTACTATGAAGCCAGGGATACCATTCAATTAGACAATTAGACTAAGCTAACTACACTCGTGCAATACTATGCATAGTTATTTCATTATTTTTAACTAATAATTTATTCTTTACGTATAGAACATTGAATTAAATTTTGCATGTCACATTTTGTGACAACTCAAGCTATTTTGTTAATGTGTATGTAATGTTAACCTACTATATTTCATTACTTTGTTTTAACTGAGCATTTACTAGACCAGAAAATTCCTAAAAAATATATCAAATATCTGTATATATTATACGCATAGTAATGCGAATAATATTATTTACTATATCGTATGACATTTGTATATATATATATATATAATCTTATAATCGATTACGATAAAATAAAAAATAAATTGACTTAACATTTTACTTAAAACCGAACGAATTTTTATAAAATTCTAAACTCCATGAATAAATAATAATAAATGTATTTATGATAGGTTATATTAGGTATCGATAACTATAAATAAATGCACATTTGAAGAGGAACAAACGTTCAATTGTCTACAGTTATTAGTAAAAACAATTAGATGTGGGTTAACATACCTTAGCTTTATAGGTGTATTCTAATCCTTTCATAATACCTCCAACTTTCTTAAGATACACTAATGTATTTCTTAACGAGCCGCCGGAACAACCAAGATTTCCATATGCGATTGAACAGTCGATAATTTGTTGGGAACTATAAAAATATTTAATATAAATAATAAAAAATAAAAATAAACATTAAGATATGTTTATTTTCTGTTATTACTTTTTTACTCACCTCAGTGTGTGCAGTTTTCCTGTAGCTTTAAACAGTTGTCCTTCTAGCATAGCAGCAATGCTAAATGCGTAACATGCACCGCATTGCAATTGATTCCAACCTGGTGTACTAAATCCTTCTTCTCTCCAATCTATCTATTTGTAAAAAAAAAAAAATTAATAAGTACATGATTGAAAAAATAAGTTATTGATAACTTAAGATAGGTAAGCATAGGGTATATTTATTTACCAATTCGATTAAAATATTTTTTGGGTGAATTATATACCATCAAAATTGTCAGTAGAGATTAGAATTCTGCACGGGCCTAGGTGGGTTCGATTGCAAAAAAAATATTACGGACCGGGACTGGTCAGAATGGCTCGTGCAGATCTCAAGTGAGGACGTAAACTTGCATACCCTAGATCCTGCACCCGGTTTGAATTCATTCGTAGGATATAACATTTGACTAATTATTATACTAAAATCAAATAATAAAAAGCTATATTTACCTATAATAACTGAAACTTTATAGAAGTTATAACAATTGCATTGTTTCTAAGGATGGAATTTGGTTATACAGAATACAGATAGCTTGACCATTTTCTTATTTTTTTTTTACTTAATACTATTTCAACATAAGGAAATTATCTTATTTTATTAATAAATAGTTTAGGTAAATTACGTGCTGTAATCAAAACTCACAAATTACAGTAACATTATGTCGTGTGATTCATTTTATGAGTTCGTAATGAATTTCAACTTGTCTTAACAATAACAAAAATACAAAAATTACTTTATGGGATAATATAATGTACTACTATCAAGGTTCTTATTTTAAGTACATAAATCTACAATACGCACAGATATTAATTGGTACAATTTTGTTCGTTTGGCTGTGTATTTGAAGTTTTCAGCACATTTTGGTTCATAAACATATTGAAAATCAATATCAAAAGTATTGATCAAGTAATTATACACCATGATTGAGCAAACGTTTTTACAGCATTTATAATAAGAACGATAAATTTATCGTTGCAATATCAAAAATATATACATTATTACAGTTGAATTTAATGGATTATGATTTACCTCTTCTGGTAATGAACTCGTATGATGTTGAGGAGGATCGAGGATATCGGCGGTCATTCTCAATCTGCTGGTCGAAAGACTAGTAAAATGTCTGTTGTACAGATGTCTGGGCTGTAAAGATAAATAATTAAGTACGAATTCGATATTTTGGCATTTAAATAATAGTAGATATTTGCCTATTGAAATAATATTGTTGTGTAATTGATGATTAAAATATAATTTCAAATTCACATAGTGGGTGATAAAATTAATTAAATTATTACAAGTTCATAAATATACGTTTAAATTACTTATTATAAAAAACTCGTAATTCAAATTAATGAAATCTCAGTCTTGCACAAGAAAAGTTTGCACTTCAATAGAAAAATGTACACATTTAGTGGAATTGAAATATCGAATATAGATTGAAAATGAATGTAATCCGAATTACGGAAATAAACAATTTAATTATCGACCATTTAGTCATTATCACAATGAAATTAAAGTGTGTAACGTTATAATATAATTCCTTAAAACAATTATTCTACTTTTCCATATTACACTGTCCGTTCTTTTATTGTGTAATTTAGAAAGGTCATTCACTCATAAGCAATTACATTCGATGAGCTCCGAACTAAAAGGACATTTGCAGACTTCGATTAATATTTAATTGCAATCTTTGGTTATTGAAATTCCATTTCACAAAATGTTTTCACTCTCTTTTTGTGAAACAAGTATGTTGATAAAACATCAGATTTACGAGTATAAACATTCTTTTGATACAACTATGACGTAGAATATTCAATCTTAATAATTTCGAAATAACAATTTATCAGTCGTGATCTTTATAATAAGTTGTAATTTTTCTATCAGAACTAGTTTTAGAGATACTAACCAATAAATCGTGGACCTCCATTGAAAAAAACCTAGGCCTTCACAAAAACTATTTTTTTTTTCTTATAAAAATTTAATATAAAATGTCAATTTGGTTTCGTATCAGTTTTCGTATCATTTAATATTGGATCAATTCCGTTAATTTTCCACCATTCCCCCTCCCCTGAACTTTCAGACAATCCCGTGTACGCGTACTGCGCACGTTTTACCAACGGCATCTTAAGATTATACGGTACAGGACATTATAACATGTAATACGTACCTGCGGGTATTCAGCGTCAGATTTACAATATTACAACACCTACGGCCAAAATACTTTTACCGCTTTCATAAACGACCGACAAATGGTTTACCTCCAACAGGGACGAGTAGATATCAATTACTTTAAACTTTTCCCATGATAGGTATCAATACCATACTTACGTTTTATTCATTAGAATGTAAGATATGTTACAATGTGTACACGTGTTATACAAATGTATGTGTAGAAACGAGATTACATAAAAAATATGTTTTTTTTTTCTGAAGAAAAAAAATTCTCTACAACAAAAATGATCAAGAACGTATTACAGATGCTTAAACACATAAAACTTTTTATAATTTATTAAGTATCACTTCTCATAACAAATAATAATAATTCATGCATTATTTGCATTATAATTTCTTTTTTCAAACTAAATATTTTTTAATAAAAATTTTCCGTGATCATGAAGGTTACATTCATAAAGGTCTCATTATAAAAGAAACTATTAATAATTTATTATGCATGTGCTTTTATTAAAATTTATAAATATTTTAATAAAATAATTCCTGTACTTTTATATTTTTTTTCGAAAATGATTATTTACTTAACTATGTCTTTAAAAAAGAAAAACTATTTGTTTTATTATAAACGAGATTACAAAAAATTTTTATATAATAACAGAATCGAATATAAGATAAATACCTACAGAAAGCAAGGAAATCGAAATATAATTTATTTTAGTAACCAAAATTTGAATAATTTTTGCAATGGTGTTTAAAATATTATATTTATATCATAGAAAATATCAGATAGAGGATATTTAAGAAATGGGGTTTTAGGATAAAGTACTGTTTACAGTTAAATTTTAAATAATTACTTGGACAAATATAAAACACTTATAATATTGATTAAAATAATTGAGTGTCTAGATCCAAAATAGGTGAAGACAATTGATAACCTAATTTTTTGCAATAATTTTTATTTTTAAAATATATTTTAAGGGATAGGAATAATTTTTGAATACGTCATTAACATTTTCATTTTAAAGTCATCTTAACTAAATTGAAATCTAAATACACTGTCAAGTTGTAATATTTTTGTTTAATAAAAAATTTTGTAATTGAAATGCGAATTCAAAGTTAAATATGTTGTGCAAACAGAAAATAGTTTTTGATTTTTCCGCACTATAGGTACAGTAGCGTAAAGTTACGTTTATGCTATCAAATTCATATAAATATTACCTACGCTTATGCATTGAATGTTGCAGATAAACGCTGTAAGAATAAATCCTATATAATTTGATATGTATTATTAATATTTTACATCGGAAAAAATACTGAAATTATCTAAAATAGAACCTTCTAATGAAATTTCTACATTGAAATGACTATCTAAAAAAATATTCTTTGTGCAACTTTTTATATAGATTTACTACACGATAGTTTGATAAAAGAAAAAAACAGCATTAAATTCTTTTATAGTCTAAAGCTATTTTATGTGTTTTGACAGCTCATAAAAAAAATAAAAAAAAAAAAATGTTTTAGTTGCAATTATTATTAATATGTATAATGCAAAATCTACTAGGTTTTATTTTTTACTCAACAATGAACGTAACTATTATTATTTCTAAAGTTTTAAATAATACTTCTGTTATGACTGCCTTAAAAATTATTTTTATTTATTTATTTTTTTTTTTTAACAAGAACTAAAAATTATAACCTCGTTTCATAAAATTTCATAAAATACATAAAATGTTATTCTATTTCATTTATGGAAATTACAATATCAAACCGTTATTCTTATACATATACATACATAATTCTTTTTAATTTTAACATTTCCAAATTTCGATATTCTTTATTGACATATTATATGAGCATATTCAATTAGTTATAAAATTTAAAGTGAATTCATCAAATCGACCTTAACACATATTTATTACTTTTTAGGATATACAATGCATAATATTTATCATATTTTTTTAATTATTAAAAATCTTACCTTCTTCCCTATGAAAATTAAACGTTATTCTTATTCGATAAAAATGTATAATTTTTAATTGCGATATTTTTTTAAATTAATGTCACTTAAAAATTTGAGTGTTCTAGACTATAGAAGCATAGTTTCTTGACAATGATTGAAAAAAAAAACCAAAGTTTCTAATCATAACTATTTTTTTCGTTCCGAAAATACGAGAACAATGAGGTTTGAACTATTTTTGCTACAGGTTTTTTTAAATAGTTGTTTACTATAATACTGCTGACATGTCTGAAAAAGGATTTTTAAACCAAAGAATAATTATAATTATATACCTACAGGCAGAAAAAATAATTTTTGAATTAGCTATTATGTATCGATTTATGGCGGATTTAATAATCATTATGTTGTAAATATTAATAATATCATTGTCATAAGAAGTATTGTGTAAAGCATAAATTATGTTTATGAGCAATAAATTCTAGGCGTTGATTAAGGAATGATTTTTTCCAATTTATAAACGGAAATCGATCGTCGTCATTATAATAATACGTACACATTTAATTAAAATGTATAAAAATGTTCTCCACTGCCAGACGAAATCAAAACTTATTCACCAGGAATCTGTTTTAGGATTCCGGGACATACCGCTCCTCCGGTCGATACCGTTTTGCTCGTTATCTCTCTCGTCGTCGCGAAAACGTTGAAACTACAATTTGCGTGGCACTGTATTCACAGTCGGTAGTCGGTATGGTAACATTTGTACGAAAAACAGTAGAATGTACAACAAACATGCCCAACGGAAATACGATTGTCATTGTGAAACGTTTAAAAATCATCACGTCTATTATAACAGCTAGGATTTAAAAGAAAAAAAAAATTACACAAACGATCTTAGTATCATATCTATCGATCCGGGTCCAATCGAAGAAGATTGATTTGTTCGTTATTCATTTTTTCGTTTCTTATTTAAGAATAGTTATAATAGCTACTTTTTTTTTCGAGAAAACTTTAGAAAAATCCATGAGATTTATTATTTTTATTATTAATATCAATTTTGTTATGGGTTTCCCCATATACCACATATAATATTATACTTAAATTTACATAAAAGAAAATTAGTATACGAGTACAATTATCAATATTTTAAAAAATTAGTTACGCTCTATGTAACATAAATTATTGTACCTTGTCAAAATTAAATATAAATGTACAAAAAGCTTTTAAGCTATACTTATAAATTATGTTACGGTTTTCCATACATCATTTATATAACATATTTCAAATATACCAGGGGCGGCCAAACAGTCGTTCGTAGACGATTTCAAAGTCGATCATGTTAGAATTCATTTTTAGGCCACGTGCACGAAAATTAATCGTGGTAGTTATGAACAAATTGTCGATAAGTTTTATCTGTATAGTTTTTATCTTTTATTCTGGTTTATAAAAAAATTTTCCAAGAAAGTCGATCTTCAAAGGTGAAGTATATTTTTAGTAGATCGTGGTCGAAATAAGTTTGGCCGCCTTTGATATAAACCATATAATATTATGCTTATATTCATGTAGTATGTAACATTTTTTTGTGTTCATCCATGTATGAATCATGTTTAAAAAGAATAGTTTAATCAGGGATACTTAATATTATGAATGTATTAATTCTATAAACAACAGATACAACTTCTTACCGCATCCATATATTGAACCATATAAAAGAGGGATAGAAATAACCACAATTCAGATGAGTTCTAGTCACGGAACTATAAGCAACTTCACGTCACTTATATTAGAATTTTTTAACACTTTGAATTACAGTGGTCGCCGCTTATAGTGATCACATTCGTTCGAGAGAACTGTGATCATTATAACCGGAAATCACTATAAGCTGCGACTCGAAAATACATTTTTTTTTTTTCACTAATAATTATTGAAAGCGTGCTCCTACTAGCCATAATACAGTATACAATTACATACTATACAAACAATACACTGAACGATGGACGAAAACAGACTGGGTATAAAGTGTAAAAATATCGGTGCTTGTGAGAACAAAAACGGTTTCAAACATGTACGAATGTACGATATGAAGTGTCGCTTATTACGTGGGTTACATTAGATAAGATTAGCTCGATTAAAGTTCACGATTAAGATAATTGGCATTCGTAATCATTTTCCCTATACACAAAAAGAGGTAATATAATTGTAAATTATACTTATATTTTATATTTCTGATGATTATTTCTGATCACAATAACCGAAAACCTGAACACTGTAAGCGACGAAAAATGCACTTATAACGGCTGTTTGTTCCGTTCCTGGCATTTTTGATCACTATAAGCGGCGACCACTGTATTAATAAAAGTATTATAAAAAATTGTCTCGTATTTAATTAAAAATACATATCATCGACTGTTCAAGTTGAAATAGAGCCGGTGGCACGTAACATTTTTATAAAATCGTGTTTTAATATTTTACAAATTCTCGTCAATTTCATGTGCCCAAAATTGTTTTAATTATTATTTAAGTTCTAATGAATTTCCAATGATTAATTATTATTATTATTATTATTTATATCCATAAAAAAATTTTCATTAGACTTTTAAGTAGATAGTGATATTCTTGCAATATATTGATTACTTTAGTAATTAATAATTACGAACAAAATATTTCTGGAATATTGTTCAATGGTAATTAATAAATCGAATACTTAAACGAATAAAAATATTTTCTTCGAATAAATACTTAAAAGTTTGTGGCCATTACGACAAATTTCATTATATATCGTTGTTTGAAAATTTAAAGATATCTAACCATACTACAAATCTTAATTCCTGTACAAACGTCAAACGGGGTTGTTATTTTTATTTGGAACTTTCAATCATGATTTATAAAACTTATTAACTTAATCGTAATTTTGTTAAAGTAATGTTTTTATTTTAGTTTTTTTTTTTTTTTATGTTCTTCTTTTTTTAGTTATTTGTAAACGCGAACTAAATGCAATTATGTGTGTGTGTATTTACGCTACGGATTTGCGATATAAATTGGATATTTGCAGATATAATAATTTATCCTGGTTGAAAACGTATACTGGTAAAGTGGTAATCATTCAAAGTGTTTGTTTAACGTAAAACACTCACATGCGATTATTACAACTTTTGAGACATAAAACGCACCAAAGTTTCCCTTAAAACGATATTCACTTATACATACGGTAAATAAGTTTCTCTGATGTGCTCATATTATTTCAATTAACGATTACTGAAGCTGTAGACGTTTTCGTTGAATTTCTAAACGAAAATTAAAATGTGCCTCGATGGCGTATTTTATATCAAACAACGTTAAGGATAACGAAATGTTTAAAAGATCCACATATTATTAAAATTACAACATATACGAAAATTTTCTTTATTGAACATTCTAAAGCGGTTGTATTTCATTATTTGTATTATAATTATTAATTTGTTTATGTTAAAATAAACATTCACCATCAAGTGTTTCAACATGTGTTTGTATATACAATTTTTATTTTCTGACCGATTTATTTTATGCCTCCAGGTGATAAATTATTTCTCCAGAAAATTTCCTTAGAATTATAAAATATTGTTTCTTATAGACCAAGGATGGGCAACTCAAAGTTACTAGAGAGCTAATTTTATAAAATTAAAATCTAGCGGGTTCAGAGCATAAAAAACAAAAAAATAAAGGTAATTCGAAATATATATTTTAATTATCATTTATATACTAGGAAATAATAAATTCAACACAAATGGCAGCACGCCACGAATGATACGAAGAAACTGATACAGTTTAATAGTATATTTATTACCTTAATTAAAAATTTTGACTTGAGGTATAACTTATCCTTTATAAAATCAATCGGATTGACCGAGGACGTCACAAGATCAGAGTAGGTAGTATAAAATATGTACTAAGAAAAAATCTAAACCACCCTCATGGCAAAGTAGGTTTGTATCAAATAGAAATAAAATATAAAAATATGACTCTGAAATTTTCTGTTTTTGAAATTAATTATTAAATAAAAATGTTAAGTTGACCAATTAATTGGTCATTAAATAATAATAATTCAAACACATTTGATTTTAAATCATGTTATACGATTTTCTCTTAAAATGTTTTTAAACTCGAATTAAGGATTTATAAAAAAGAATCTAAACATTTTGCTAAATTCTTAGGCAATTAGTAAACAATACATTTTTAATATTTTCATTTTCATTAGACATCTGTGAATGAGAAAACATCGAATTAAATTACTGATATTGTCATGGACAATAATAATAAGCTTATACTCTTTGTTATATTATTATATTTTACATTTCCATGTTAACAATTAACCGAGTAACCTTCAGCACTTCCAACCCAACTAATTATTAATTTATATTATAACCCATTTTCAAATAAAAAAATTAGCAAGTATCTAAAGACTCTAAACCAAATTCTATACCCTTTCATAATGCATACTTCAAGCCCTAATCCTACATTAAAAACACTCAAACGCATTCCAAAAATATACCACCGCATTCTCTGAATATTTTTAGCTATTATGGTATTTGTTTTTTCCTACATCGGGGTATTGTCAATGTTAAGTTAAAAGCTAATGAAATTCATAATTTATGATATGAAATTCAAAATATTCTTAATATTTTGATTTCATGGAACTTAATTTGACCCTCCCTTTGACTTAAATACCTAGTTACGCCTATTTTTTTAGCTTATAAACATCAAACACTATTTTCTGTTTAAGTTTAAGTTTCACAGAATAAAAATAAAATAACTTAAATAATAATAACTTAATAATAACTTAAATAAATTAACTTTAAATAATAAGTCGCGATTTTATTGATTTTATATTAACCTGATGATTTTCATTTTTAATCCGAAACCGGTAATATTTTACTAATATAATATCTCAGCATTTATTTATTTATATCTATACATACGATATTTCTTTATTTATTTATATAGAACGTAAAGTTTTTTTATACATTTTTTTGAGTACTTAAAAAAACCTCACCAATAATCTCATATAACATCATCTGATCAATGTTGGGACTTATCTAGATAGATTTTTTGTCATCTTTTATCTTACCTAGATAAATAACGCTAAGTTACTAATTACTTATCTAAGATAAAATTTTTACTTATCCAGATAATTGCCTGTATTCTTTCCAAGATTAGAGTTATTTTTATTCTTGTACGGAGACGAACCCAACAAATTAGAGGTCATAAAAATCGGTCCAGCCGTTCTTGAATTACAAATTCTCTAATTAACCCGACTTTCTTTTATATATATATATATATATATAGATTTTGTATTTATAATCATAATTCATGTATTATTAATAATTAATTATTATTTCTTGGTATGACATTTTATTTGTATTGTCGGGAAAATATTGTTGGTACTTTTAAACTTAATTTCTTATTTTTCCATTGAAGTTCCAAATATAGTAGGTATTTGATTTTAGTAAACACATATAACTTATACGCCGTATAGTCAATACTTCATTCTTGGAACCCGTAAAGTCTATTTATTGAATAATGAAAATTCTCAAATTAAGATTATACGGAAAACAATATTATTAGCTTAAAATAATGTATTCTGTATTCATCATGATACGTACAGAGCAATTTTCATTTTTTTTTTTTTTTTTGTAACATTTTAGTGTACATATTGTACATTATATATAAATACTGCTTAATGGGTACACAATATTACTACAATAAACATTAAATACCTAGGTACCTATTGATAGTAATAACTATAGTTGAATCTTCATAGATATTATTACAAATATGAAATATTGACCAAAAAATAAAAATGTTTGAAAATATCTTTTTTTTTATCTTATTCTTTTATCTAGATAAATTTTGCATTATCTATTCCCAGCACTGCATCTGATTAGATAAAAAAATAAAAGAGACACGATGTGATTACAAATATGTAAAATAAGATAACTAATGTAATATACGTATACTCGTATATGATTTCAGATAATAAAGAAAATCAGTTAAAAAGTTAAATAAGCACTAAAAATATAATAATATATCGTATTGTTCTTCTATTGATGTATTATTCTTGTTTAATTGTCTCATTATTTATACATTTGTATGTTTCATAATCAATTATAATAAAATATTTTAAGTTAATCAAAAAACTATACAGATCAAGAATTATAATAATTGAATTTACAATCTATGTCAAATGCGTATTTTCGTACAGAATAGTTACAACGAGATATTAATAAAACATTAAAAAAAACCATGATTACTTAAACAAAATCGCGATTTTAAATCTTACGGACTAGGGGACACGAGTTAAGCTTATTAGTCACCTATATGACGAATACATAATATATATTGCTCCGAAATTATTTTCATTTGTAATAAATATTATATGGCATCGATATTCAATCTAACAACTATTTTTCTAGTTGAACTAATTTCTAATAATAGAGTGTATTCTATTACTTCGTTTTATCATTTTTTTTGCACATTCAGTTCATAAAAGAAAAAAGGATTACCAGTTATGGTTTAATACGATTTATTTTTTTATCATAATTTCACATTAAATATTCACGACCTGTGCCACGCATGCTCATGAAAATGTACGTGCGTATTATTTCAAACCATTCGACGCGTTTGTTTTAGAAATAAAACGTTTCAAACACGTGCGAACTTGAAATTGAAAAGCCGTCGTCGACGCATCGTAGCATAAAACGGTCTACGTTCGGTGTGGTGTAGTATCAAACCTAACCACTAGGTGAAATCGTTGCAACGGTAGCACTCACTGTAAGAGCGCAAATCATAATATCAATAATTTTTTTTTTTTTGTTTACCATGTCGGCCAAATGATTCAAGTCCAAGGTGTAATTGTGCTTGCCTCCTCTCGCCTCCTCGTTGTGTCGGTTAATGTGATGGAAGTTATCCTCCCACGCGGACCGGTGGTGATGTTCGTTGGTCCACAAATACGTTTTATTGTGTTCCGCCTGCAACATGACAATCGCCATAATCATCATCGTCGTAGTAATCATTAACAGTAGTTGTGATTATTGTGTTTTGCAGTTACGCGGGATGGTTTTTTGTTATGCCTCATCCCTAGTGTACGAACACGACAATGAATAGAACAAAAAAATAAAATCTAAGCATTTTGTGCACGTTAATGTAATATAAATATAAAATTCAGTGCGCGCGCGTTTAGTTCAATACAACGAGCTGTATAATAGTCGAGAAAATATAATGAAAAACAGATAAAAGCCTTGAGTAGGAAAAACCGAACTGAAATGTTAGGTAAGGATTGCACTAACAAAAAATAATCCAGACTAATAAAACTTAAAAAATAAAAAATAAATAAACTTTCAATGAACACGTTAGATTAAGTTAGACATTAATTAAGAATTGAAAAATACATTAATCAATAATGTCGCCTGCGGTAGTTTAGATGACGATTCGAAGTTTTTTTTTAAATAATTTTCAAGTGAAACGTTGTTCGTAAACGAAATCATGGCCGAATAAAATGGGACCTCTAACTCACTCCTACTGTGCCTATGAATAGTCAACCTGAGTTTTAATTTTTTTCCTGATACAAAAATGGTAGGTATGTAATATTACCGATTACTGCAATCCGGTCGATTTAATATATATATATCGAAAAAGTGCACTTCGTGCACACGATAGATGTACCACCGTACGTTCATGAAGTTAGCTCAACCAAGTTGAGAGATAAGCTTGAAACCAACGCCAATATTTTGCAAATTAATTGCAAATTACTGCAATAGGTTTAACGATTTAATCGGATCCAACGCCTGCATCGCAATGGGAACAGTTTAATTGTTTTGGAAAATATTGATCCATTTTTAAAATAATTATTAACTTGCTGAGTTGATAAAAATGTTCCAAAAAGGCTCAAATAGTCCTCCGAGGATATTTTGACCTATGGGGACGGATTGATTCATAATGTATACAATTACATTTTCTTTAGATTGTTTGGTACTATTATACTAAAGAAATGACTTGAAAATATTTTGGAAAGAAAGTATATTTTATAATCCATATCATCTTTGAATATATTGTGCTTATGCCGTTGATTTATTTGAGTTTTAAAAAATGAACTTAAATGTCTGAGTAGTTGAATATAATTTGTTCAAGTATATAATATTAATGTACAAATGGTTATTTCTTGTCGAGAGCTAACTAAAACCGTACATAATGTACATCGTGTCGTCGTCGTTAGTAACACAAGATATTCAGTAGGAATTATAAGTCTTCCCTAACTGAAATTAATAATAAAATAATTTATACATCTACGATTTATAATAATATTATAATGTTCAGTTTTTTATTTTAATTTACGAATGGTGTATAATGTATATTGCGTACGTATAAAATATAAGCTATTTTAGGTATTTTTCCAACTGACTAAAAATACCATATTAAAAAATAACATGCACAAATTACAAATTTGTATGATTAACATGTTCTTTTCATAATTTATACATACATATTGCATATACAAATAAACTATTTAAAATAATCCGAGATTGTAGGTGTGGATTGGTCATTTTGGCTGACAAAAATTCATGAAAAAATCGCCAAAATCAGAGATTTCATTTGTAAATTGTAAAAACCAATTTACAATTATTTGTATAATAATCAAAAAATATTTATTACTAAATTGGGGGTTGATTTTCAAATTCTATAAATAAATTAACAATTATTTACAATTAATTTGCAAAATATTTGCATAAGTTTCGAGTTCATCTGTCAACTTGGTGGGATCAACTTCATGAACGTTACCACTGCCTGTCGTTGAGCAACCACAAAAAGTTTTAATCTCCCAGATCGGTTACCGAAAATGTTTCTGGTAAAATCTTTAAGAGGATGTCGAACAGGAATATTTTAGTATCAAAAACATGTTCACGTAAATTGAAAATTACTTGTTCCCGAGTGATTTTTAGAGCTAAGAAACTAAAAAATTATCAAATTTAAATAAAACAATATTTTGGAGGGCTTCTCATAGGGGTTTTAAAAATATTAAATTTAAAAAAATATCGTATAAGCCTCGGCTGATATTCGCACAAACATTTTTATTTGAATGTCGTTGATTAATTGAATGTGATAAATGTTCAAACCAATATTGTAATATGCATTTTTCAACTATATTTTTTACCGTCCATTGATATTCTATATTGAGACGACAAGAATGATCAACTTTTTACCCATTAATGTATTACATGATATGTACTGATAATGAAGACATTTTTAATCCTGTTTTCAATATCTAACGATCGGTTACATTATTGTTGCACTCGTTGATTGGTGTCATCGTTTGGTCAAAATACAATTGAAAATATTTTGTTGCCTTTTAGCACTTATCTTATACATCAAATCATACGCGGCAAACGAATCTTCATGACTGTTTTCGATTTCGATTTGTACAAGAACCGTACGAATGACACGAAGTTGCGCGCCTCCGATCGTGATATTGGGCTGATCAGGACAGACAGAGGACCAAATGATACACCGGGTTAGACAAACTTCAGTACTCGGCCGGAACGGCGTCTCAGTGAAAACTATTCGAAAAGGATTTTCACGATTTCCCTGCGAATCGCTGCAATTATATAATCATGCATAGTACCAATGATGTCACGACGGAATTCAAAGAACGTAAAATGGACAGCTCGTGAAAAATTATCCAGACACTTATGAATTATTATTCATCTGATACGGATATTTTTCATAAAATTAATGTTGACGATGACACCGGCCGATAATGAATGGGTTGACACAAAATTGTTACTGATGTATTAATTCATTGATTGTTTGACTTTAGAAAGGTTATAAAAAAATAATAAATAAACGAATAAAAAATAAAATCGTTTCGTTAAGCTCATTTCAAATATATAAAATTAAAACGTTTCAAAACTATCTCGTACCAACGTTTCGTCAGCTATATTTTGCTTACATTGTACTAGTTTCGTTTCGGGCCAGGTAAAATGTTTTAATGAATAGTATTATCGGTCCTTAGGGCAGATAGCAAAGGAAGAGGTACATTATGAAATGCTTACTAAATATAATGTTTTTTTTTTTTATTTTTTTTCTCTGACGTGTTAAACCTAAAAAATAAAAAGAGTTCTGTCATCATTATTTAATTATATGAAAAGGGATCCATAGAATGATTTCACTTCCTTCGATTTATTATGTCTAATTAATAGTTGTATTTTATGTTATAGTATTTTCTTATGGCGTTTTTGATCACTAATGCAAATTGCAAATAAATGTTTGTACTGTTTTAGTGTAAGAATAAAAAAATAAAATAAAAAACCTAGTAAAACGGTTTACAGTGATATTTTTCTGAAAGTTATCATCACGTGAACTACAAATGTAGTCATGAAGAGACGTTCATAACATAGTAGTCCGTATAGCCAGTTAGCAGTATTTTAAAGCCATGTGCTCATAAAACTTACGTATCTGATGAAACGTGAACGTGGATCAAATGTAACATACGTTTCAAACTAAAATATTGATTTTTGAAAAATATACCGCGAATCATATAAAACACATATAGGTTAACGTTTTGATAATTGTTCATTGCATCTACGTTTTTACTTAGTAACATACATTGAAAATATATTCGTGTTAAATCTTTGCAAATTAGACGACAATATTTGGTTAAATGTTATACCTATATACGGTTTCATATTTAACAACGTTTGTTTTAAATTTACGCAGACAACTTTCGTGCTGTAGGCATTATGACCCAGAAGTATCTTTTATACAAATCGTATGCGATTATATATTTTAACATATGATTTTTAACATTCGATCCGATGTCCCAATTAATCGTCTATCGATATAAGTGACGAATAAATCAACGTCAGATGCTTCCTCAATGATAGGTCCTCTTCCCGTATTTTTTATTCTATAAGAAAAATAATTACAGACAGTTTATGTGCTAAACAAGTTTTAAATAAAAAATAATAATAATTAACGATTTACGAGGCCAAAATATTTACCATATAATATACTTAATTATTAATGCTAAACAAGACATGTAATGTTTTGCAGACGTTTAAGGTGATTAAAGTAACAAAAACATAGCGTGACCTCTATACTGCAGGTAGCTGTTTTTAATATTTTCAATGTTAAACGTCATTACGAGACTTCTCATAAACAATTTTCCGAAAACTGTTTGCACTTTGATATGTTAAAAATATTTGCTTTGAATTTTGATGGCACCCGAAAATGTTCAAAATCCTCATTATTGCCCTCCACAAATACATTAATTGGTGACTCCTGTCTAATTATAACATTGTTTTAAGTTCGATGCTATAAGTCGTCGTGCAAAAAACAAATCGGAACTGAATAGCACTGCTTAAACACGTTATACTTGAATCATAAATTATATTAAAAGAAAAAAACAATAATATAAGCCAGATTATGTTTTATTTATTTTTTCTATTTATTAAATCAACAATGATCAGTCTTAACAATGATTTTAGCGTATCATAATACAAGTTCAAAGTGTATGTTTTTAACAAGGGATGCAACGGAACAAAACAATTGAGAACAATAAAGAAAGATAAAATGTATACAAAATAACCGAGCGTTATAGAGATTCGGATTCAGATGATGATGATGACAACTGTAGAGACGACAAGGCATCTTGCGGAAGGCGTAGTTACAATCTGAAGTTTTTTTTTCCAATTTTATAATGGAGGACTTCTACAATTGAGTTTAGTCTCGAGTGGAACGTTTTTAATAAAACCGGGTTCGTTTGATACTACAAAAAATATTGACTTTGTAACAATGTCACGATGTAGCAAACGATTTAAAATAATACTGTTTGAATGTGCTTCATAACGACCCGTGAGATTAATGCTTACGATCAGGGAACGATAACAGTGTTTTGCGAGAGAAAAGGATTACAGAATAACAGAACCGCTTTTGACCACAGTTGCAGTGATTATTACAAAAACGGAGTGAAACG